TCTCGATCTCTCTCACCTAGCTCCCCCTCCTCCGTCTCTGCCGCCCCACCTTGATCACTCTCCTTCTTGCTCCTTTTCATCCTCTTCTTCGCCTGCCTCTTCCTTCTATTCGGTTTCTCCTTCTTCTGTTCCTCCTTCTCGATCCTCTTCCTTCTCCGCTGCCTCCTTTATCCGTCTCCTCTTCCTTAAACTCTTCTGTTTCTTCTACTGCTGCTCCTTCTTCTTCTTCTTCTGCTGCTGCTGCTGCTGCTGCTGCTGCTGCCTTTTCTTCTTCGTCTTCTTCTTCTCTTCCTATCCCGACCCTGTTCATCCGAGCTTGTCGATCTCTCCCCGCAAGCGGCATTCATCTCCGTAAGCGTCTTCGTCTTTCCCTTCCCGTGCGCAGAGCGTGCGTGGTCGCGCGAGCGATCCCAGGATACGCTCCACGGTACCCGCAACCTGCGTCTCCCGTGGACAAGCGGCGCGTCGCGACAACGACGGAACCTGGAGTCCCTCGGACGCGGAAGGGGGCCGATGTTTGGAGAGGCTGGGTGGAGTTAGCGAAGCAGATGTTGAGTTCTTGCTGCGGATAGGAGTGCCTTGGACGTTCGGAAGGGTTTGGGGATGATTTCTACGTGCTTCTGATCCAGTTGCTGGTCGTTTGATGTTCTCCTTCGGAATTCGATATTGTTCTTTATTTTTGTGATACTGGAAGTTTTCTGGTTTCCGAAAGTATCGTGCTTTTTGCTTTGAGAGCGCTTCAGATTTTCATCTAGGGTTTCAAGTAATGTCGAAGTGGGTTTGAAGCACGAAAACTGTTCTAGTTTTGGCACGTTGACGGTTAGAAACTGAGTTCCGCGGAAGAAGAAACTACAGAGTTCGATATTGCATTCGATTTTCTTAGAGAATACTTCGAAATGATCTCGATGCTTGTTTCTCGACTATAAACACTCTCATCGACGCGAAGTCGATTTTGATGCGACGCATGCCAGGAACACCGGCAGACATCGCGTTTACTGAACCGTACAGGCATTACACTTAAATATCCACTTATATTAATATTCTCCGCGCGGAGCGTCCTTCTTCTTCCCACTTTCTCTTAAATCCACAAACCCATGGAGAACCTACGACCGCGAATGCGACTGAAATACACAGAGATCTCGATGCACGCCCCGCGGCGATATTATATCCCGGCTACGCGAACTTTATCCCCTTTCCAGAATGATTCGGCATTCGTTATCACGCGCGCAGTAGACACTCTCGTCGCGAGATAATCCGGCGTTTCTTCTGTGGCGCGCGCGCGGCGACCGGCGCGAGGACGCTAATTTATATCATATACATATAGAATTTTTTCATCCAGCCGGACGAGGAAGAACGCGACGTCGGAATTATCTACAGCGGCGGGGAACAGTGACAAATCTCTCCAATAAAAACGGTTGACGCGCGTGTACGTCATTTATACCGAAAGCCGGCGTCGCCGGACGCGAACCTTTGAGTCGCGACGCGAACCGTGACCAGCAATGAAAATTATAAACTTTCCACGGCGGCGAAAACATTTCCTAACCTTTGTAACAAGTCGACGGTCCATAAAGTTCCCGGAGTACATTTTCCCGGGCTCGGTCCCGCCGTAAGTATCGAAGATAACCATCTATATTTAATGAGCCGTTCATCCGACGCCGCGATTTCCCCGGCTACGACGCTGAAGCACGTGCGGAAAAGCGACCCACTATAAAACCAGCCGCGACGGACACGGTTCCCCGCTTCTCCACGGGGTGATTCGCGTAAGTATAGCAGTCCCTCCTCTGCCCCTGGCCCGCCCCTACCGCGACCACTCGTAAACGTAATCGTGGAAAGCGCTGCCGTGTCGTTTATCACGATATTTTATTGGCCAAGGCCTTTTTCTTACCGTTGCCGCTCGCCAGCGGCGGCGGCGGCGGCGGCGGCGGCGGCGGCGGCGGCGGGCACGGCCAGAACCGACGCGACTTCTCGACGGACGCGATTGTGATCGAGCAAAACCTCGTTTACTGCCTCGCTCCTAGGCCTTTCGCACTTTTACGCGAATTTCCTTGGCGATAAAATTCCGAGTAATGGACGCGGAGGAAGAATTATCTCGGCGAGGCTATTCGCGAGTTTGAGGCACCGGTGAGCAACGACTCGCGTAACGTAATTGGACGCGAAAGTTTCTTTGCGATGGACTGCGAGGATCTGTATCAGAGTTTCTGGGAACAATGGGAAAGCGATGAAACGAGGGGAAATTGAATCGGAGACTGCGGTATTGTTCGTTGGATTGGTCGAAGTTATCGCTCGTGGCCACTGCCGAGAGTTTGGTCTGATAGGGTTTAATGCAATTAAATGTTTCTTAGTTAGTATGAACTTCACGAGTGACAGATGCAAGCCGAGTGATAAATTTGATGTCATAAGGTTATTTTGCAATGTTTGTTGCGTTGAATCGGGGAAATGTAAATGAGAGTTTAACGCCCGCACAGGTGGCACTCTCGGTGATTTCAATGCTGGGTCTGCGGCGGTCATCCTGTCACTCGTTGCCGCAGTAAATTGTACAATTTCGTTTAACTGTTGCATACAGAGGACAGTGAAATATTACATGCACACGGTAACAATTCATCAGAGTATTTATTCGGTTTAAAGTAACATTCAAAGTAAAAGCTAGACTGAGTCATTCGGGTAGATGGAAATATTTTCGCTCGTATTAACAAAACTCATCGCTCTATGACACGGTTCTTACTGAATTGCATCAGTGCACTTACAAATTGACAAGACGTGTTCTATTTTAGCAATGGTGCTTCACTTTTGCGTGTAAAATAATTCTCCGCTTAAACCGTACAGGCTACAGCCACCGAATACTCTACAGGATTTCGTCTTCCCCTTTTCCTTCCGCGAGTGAATCAAATTTTTAAGTAATATATAATGTGTACTCTATGTATTATCGAACGAAACTTTACGTTTAAACTTTTGCGGAAAAATTCTCGGCAGAGCCAACCGATCGACGTAATAATCATTCAACTGTGGAAAGACGAAAGCTATTGCAGCTCCGTGTTACTCCGAGCCTTATGTAATTATGTTGGAGTGTTCATCGGGCAGAGTATCGTTGTAAAATGCAAGCGACGGCATGGTAATGCATTATTAAAAATCGCGTCGTGCAGGCTGCGCCTTTGTTGAACGTCGGAGATCCGCGAATGTATTTCAATTACACCCATCCGCCGTTCCCTTGCCAGCTCATTGAAAACGAGACAAATGGTATATATCGTCGTATCACAGCTGAGTGGAATAAACCAGGAGAAGGTTACGTCGTTCGAAGTGGGAGGTGCCCGATCAGCGACCAATAGAAAGAGCCGCCACCCACGAAGCTATAAAAATTAATTTATCACATGGATCGCCGCCTACGCCATTGCTCCGTTCGCGGAGCCGCGGTTCCGCAGCATCCCGACAGGTTACGCTACCTGTCGGGTCTTCCCCGTTTCAGAATTGTACAATCTTTACTATAAAACAGGCAATTCGAAAGTAGTAAGATAAACATGTATATTGAATTATAAAACGTTTATTATCTTTGCGTCACAATACATTTGTTTTTCTTGAATAATATTAACGAAGAGTCGCGCTAATGATTCGAACAATGTGAAGCAAGCTTAATGAAACTGCATTTGTAAGGGCAATAATTAAATTTACGTCATAGTTTATTCATGTTTAATGTTTCAAGCGTATAATAGTAAATGAAACATTGAAAATTGTAGAAATATTATATTTTTCTTTGAAGGTAAAATTCAAATGACGATGGCAATTTTAGTTTCGAGTTTATATATCGTTTTCCCTTAGAGGACACCACCGTACACGATCATCTTAAAGAATCGATCAATTATCCTACATATTATTGGGGGAATATCTAAACTATCGACGGTATATATGCTTATCGGCTAAGAGTAATATTTACTAGCGAAAGGTAATATCACCGACGAAGGGTAGGATAGAGTTAAGACACGTAAGCAAAGATCTTGCTTTCTCTCAATGCACAAACTTTTTAAGCTGTGTTACTGCGCTACTCGCTTGAGCATTTCGCCGTAGATGGCACCACGGCAGTGTTCCGTTAACAGAAAAATTAAATAAACGAAACCTCTTCCATTCCAATCTCTGATAACACAAAATCCATTAAGGGGAACGACGAAAGCCTGAGTTCCCATAAAAAACAAAGAATACAACAAACGATATGACGTGGAAACTGTACAAGAAAAGAGGTTCTCTCAGCTTTGAATAAGGTTGCTTTATTTTGTTAAAAATATGACTGACATTATTGATTA